ACGGGTGATAAAGTTACGTAGTTACCCAATGAGAGGCAGCATTGGCACATGCATGGGTCGGTAAAAAGAGTGCCTCTCCTACAGACTACAGCATGTTAAATTCACAGCCAATAATATATCACAGGCCTGTCACTATTACGTTAAAATATAACATTCATTAAAGAAATTGGATAAGATTCAGCCAGCCCGAGTCTGAATCAGCAGAAGCTGGCATCGTTTGGCAGCACACGCGCTTACCACGCGTTATTATGTCAACACTTTCTGCCGTGGCCGGAAGCTTTTTCGACGGCGACGATTATCCAATTACGACACGTGTACGACCCGATTGAATCTCCCAGACGTGCTTCGACGTTTTTTCAAGTAATACTGTTAAGAGCGTTGAAGTATTTACATTATTACCGTTTTTAATGGTCTCGACTTGGGCCTGTGTTTCATGAACCGGCCCAATGGGCCGGTTAAAGAATAAAAAATTTGGCCTTGATATTGTAGGGCTTTACCCCGAAGGGAGCCCTTCCAGAAATTCTCGAAGGCCTGGGCCAAACCCAGGCCTAAGAGGGGGTTTGGAAATAGTTTTCAACCAGCAATTGACGCGCCTCGGTTAGAACCTCACTAGCTGCGTCATTGCCCCAAGCGCAAAGATATCTTTACCATTGAGATATCCTTCCTTTTTATAATGCTCCACCACAACTTAGCTTTGATTTCTTTCGATGTGGGACTAAGTAACTCTTCAAAAGTGAATCAAAATTAGTTCACCTTTCGTCAAACGTTAAATTGAGGGTTATAACTCAAAATTAGCCAGATTTTTACACAGTTTTTTGTTAAAATTAGTGACGAATTCATTAATATTAAACGGAGATTAAAAATTTAATAGTTTATTTAAGGTTTTATGTTCTAAATGGATGAAAGTTTCAGGTACAGTGCAAAATTCAAATTCACTGTTCTATGCTTTACTTTTCCATAGCTCCCGACCAAAGAACTCCACTAAAACGGAGGGAATAGTTTTATCTTATATATATATAAATGCTTTTGGCTTACTCTCCTTCTTGGAGTTCCAAATTTTCTTCGGTTCGAAGAACTAAGTGGGAGGCCTAGAGGAAGAATCTTATGGCGGGTTATAAGGGCCATGATGAATATGATTACTTGTTTAAGCTGGTTTTGATCGGTGATTCTGGGGTAGGCAAATCAAACCTGCTCTCGAGGTTTACCAGGAACCAATTTAATTTAGAATCGAAGTCTACGATTGGGGTTGAGTTTGCTACCAAGAGTTTGGATATTGATGGGAAGGTAATCAAGGCTCAGATTTGGGATACTGCGGGACAAGAAAGGTTTGGTTCTTCGTGGTTCTTTCTTGAAATCTCAATCGATTTCAGTTTTAAGTCAACTTCCGATTACTGTTGCATGATTTCCTTGCTTCTAATCAATCGATTCTTTGCCAGAATATTGTTTGTGTCGATTGAATATTAATCATATCGATATATCTTACAGTTGCTTGAAATTTCTGGAGTTGATTCGTTTTAGACAGCTTTTTTACCTTTAATTTGTGATTAAAGAAAGGGGAAGGGGTGGATTATATGTCGACAAAATCGTAGGATATGAGGCAAAAGAAGGCCTACCTTGATTTTATTGCTATCGTGTAGAATCTGATGCTCATGTTCAACCTGGTTCTATAAACAGGAAAATCGATATTCACCGAGTGCTCTGTTTTCCCCTCCACTACTTGTTTCTATGCTTGCAGCTCGATTGTGATTACTGTAGCTTAAGGCTAGAGTTCTGGTTTTGAATCTAGTAGCACTGATTGAAAATTAGCCTTATCTTTGGAAATCTGATGGCTTCAAATGTTTAGTTTATCTTTTTTACCGTAACTCATCAGCTTAAGTTTGGAGTTCATTAGTGATTTAACATGGTATTAGAGCGGTTAACGTTCTATGTTTGAACCTCTAATAATGTCATTTCTTCCCCAAATTAATATCGATTTCTACTTGTTGAGCCTTCTACAAAATTCTAAGCCCACAAGTTAGAGAAAGTGTTGAAATATTAATGTACTTAAATTTTGCCTAACGCATCAACTTAAGCTTTTGAATTCGTTGTTGGTTTAACGATTTCCATTTGGAATGATTGTGTTTCTGGCTTCTGTAGTGCTTGTTCTAGTTTTTATTTGCTTGTCCATTCGAAGAACTTGTGGTAATAAGTCTGCATCGTTGCAAAATGAAACAGAGATTTTCTGATAAATTTTCGAGGTTGGTATTCGGTGGTCATAATGTTCGGATCATATGATGGTGCTTAGACTACTTTTCTTGTGTCCCTGGAAAAAGATCCCTATCGGTTCGACATTCATACTGCCTTCCTTGTAGTTATGGTCAAAATACATACAATGGTCTGGTTTGATATTAAGAATTGTAGCCTAGTTCAAGCTTCAAGGCTTGTCTTTACTGATACAATGGTCTGGTTTGATATTAAGAATCAGTGACCATTTATTGAAATGTGCATAAGCTGGCATCCAATGGTTTCTTTATTTGTGCAAAGGCTCCGTAGGCTGCGTAGGTACAACAGCACAAGTAGTCGCATGAACTGTTTGCGATATACTTGATATATCGAATAATTCAGGAAAGTTTCTTGTTATGGACATGCTGAAGCCAGCAGCTAAAGACTAGTTATTTCATTAGTATGAGCAATAGGAGTATTGAATACTCGTAGTTGTTTGAACTCTGATATTTTCGAATTGCCTTATGTATCAAATGAATAATAGGACGTGTTGCTGCGCTCAACTTTCCTTGGTTAGTCGTTTGTTGTTTTCTTGTAATAGCTCAAGCTCACCCTTAACAGATATTGTCCTCTTTGGACTTTTCCTTCCGGGCTTCCTCTCAAGATTTTAAAACGTGCCTGTTAGGGAGAGATTTCTACACCCTGTTTTGTTCCCCTCTCGAACCGATGTGGGATCTCACAATCCACCCCCTCGGAGCCCAGCGTCCTCACTGGCTCTCGTTCCCCTCTCCAATCGACGTGGGATCTCACAATCCACCCCCCTTCGGGACCCAGCGTCCTTGCTGGCACTTGTTCCTCTCTCCAATCGATGTGGGATCTTACGTTTCTTTTCTACCTCAAATTCTTCCATTTGAGGTTTAAAATTCTTTTTGTACATTATGATTGTCATTTTTTTCGTTTTTCCATGGGGTTTTTTTTTTTTCTTTTCTTTTCTTCTTTTTGGATAAGATTGTTTTGCCATGGTGAGGACATTATGCTGTGGTTATACTCTTATTTGCTTCCTTAGATTCAGATCAGCTCTATCTGTGTAGGTACCGAGCGATAACCAGTGCTTACTACCGAGGAGCAGTAGGTGCTTTGCTCGTGTACGATGTCACTCGACGTTCAACATTTGAAAATGCAGCAAGATGGTTAAAGGAATTGAGGGATCACACAGATCCAAACATGGTAGTGATGCTCATTGGCAACAAATGTGATTTACGCCACCTTATTCTTGTTCCAACAGAAGATGGACAATCCTTTGCTGAGAGGGAGTCTTTGTACTTCATGGAGACCTCCGCACTCGATGCAACAAACGTCGAAACCGCTTTCACCGAGGTGCTCAATCAAATATATCGAATCGTAAGCAAGAGATCAGTAGAGGCAAGCGATAGCGGAAGTGCTTCCGTGACCCTCCCATCAAAAGGCAAGACAATAGATGTCAAGGACGACTCATCGATTCTGAGGAGGATCGGATGTTGCTCCAGCTAAGAAAAAGAAGCTTCGAGCCTGACTCAGAATTACAGCAAGCAACATTTCTTCTGTATATGGTTGTATTGTATCACTTTCTGTAGATTAAGAGCTCGGTCGTTCGTGATGGTTGTTTCAAAGGCGCCTTCCTTATAAGTGTGGAGTTTTCTTCTTTCAATTCGAACATTTGAAACCTGAAATTTACCGTTGTCGTGTTTACTCTTTGGTATCAAACCTCCAAAGCGAAAAAATAATAATAATTTCGTATATATCTTTGCAAATATTCTTCGATTTCAAACTTTATATTGAAACTTTTAATTTCTAGTAAAATAATTATCTTTATGAACTTATTTTTTTAATAAAAATGCTCGTCATTTTTTTTTTTTTTTTTTTTTTTTTTTTTTTTTTTTTTTT